TTACACGTTACTTGCACCTAGTATATATAAAGTATACCAAATATATTTTTAATAATTTGAAGTTTTGAACTGATTTTATATTTGACTAAAAAATGGAAAAGATTCAAGTAAAACTATTCAGGCAAATTTAATTTTACTAACAAGAACGTGATATGGACTTTTTACTGACGGTACCACGATGCTGTATTTTTTATTTTTTTTAATAAAACCACTCTAACCGACGTAGTTTTATTAATAAAAAAACTTAAACATAATTACAATAAAAAATAAACATGATTTAATAACAAGATTAAAACATCACAAACTAAAAATAATTATAGAGCCTGTTTGAGGCCCTTTTTTTTTATGAAAATATATTTTGAAATAATATTTTGATGGATATTGTGTGGTTAAAAATTTTTTTAAAAAAAGTTTTAAATTTACATATAATATTATTTTATTAAAGAAAGTGTAATTAAAAATAAGAACGAAAAATATATTTTGAAAATAATATGAAACAGATAAGAGCATAATAAGCCTATTCTCTTCTCTAGATATTATATATAATCATTAGCAACTAAAGGTAGCATGCTTTAATAATAACGCGAGAGAAAAAAACATAATAAAAATTTAGAGCATTTTCAATAATGTGCTTTATTGAAATATCATTACGAGATATCAAACGAAGTCGAAATATTGCATTCTTAATATCATTTTGAAGTGCTCACAACTTAATTTTCTACGTCGTTAATTGCCCGCGAAACATTATTCTCCAACGATCATACGCTAGTCGACTTCACAAATCGCCCACGTCAACCCGAAACTCGTTTCAAGAATTATATCATAGACATACAAATGGTTCAAACAGGTCGAAAATAATTAAAGTTATGTTAAACGTGCCTATTAAAAAGAGGCGTCAACTCGTCTTTTCTTTAAAAATATTCAATTATTTTATTAATATTTATTATTTTTGTACAACGAATTTCTCAATATAATTTATATCATTTTATTAGAAAATTTTACATGGGGTATGATATCAAAAAATTTCAAAATTTTACATTTGAAAAAGTCATACTTCATGTAAATTTCAAAAATTTATATGAGGTATGGATTTTTTTATATAAATTATCGAACGTAAAATTCTTTCAACTTTTTTAAAAGTTTAATTATATAACTCAAAATGTCTGCGTCCACCACTAATTCTACATTACAAATAAGTTCAATAACATCCAACTTTGAGTCTTGGAGATTTACTCTCTATGGCTAAATCGAAGTCAATTTTTACCGTCACGACTAGATAGATAAAGCAGGCCTGACGTTTCATCTTCTGAATTTACAGAACTCGATTCACGGCTATAGCCTTGCCTTGAGTCAAGATAGCATATTTTATTGACTATGTTTGTGGGTGAGATTGAATAATGAATACTTGTATAACGTGGCATGTGCTGGGCTGCTGCAAAGAACGCGTGTACTAAGAGAAGGGACACCTATATGAAAAAAAGAATAATACTTTTCGTAGTCAACGACAATAATAGTCGTTGTACTTGAAAACTCACGTGTAGCGGCGGATCAGTATCTGACGAGCTCCACCGGTCATCTGGATTCGCCGGCGTTCAATGTCTATTTATTTTTTTTGGACCAATGTATTTATTTGTTTGGGTATTGAGGGTGTGTTTAAACCACATTATTTTGTAAGAATGTGTTTTGAAATAGTAAATTGATAGAGAATGTGTGGTTGAAAAAGAAAGAAAAGTTATTGATGCGATGAAAAATATTATTTTATTGAAAAATGTGTGGTTGAAAATGAGTAGAAGAATGAAATGAAAAATTAATGTGGCTCAAACATGACCATATTTTAGAATAGTGATTTTTCAAAGAAT